CACATAACCAAAATTAGGTAATAACTTCTCATACAATGCTCAAATGGGGTGTGTGAATACACCAATGTGATCTAATCAACCTCATGAACATCCCCATATTTTTAAAATAATTTTCTGACGTTTCACGTGCCGGCCAAGGCACAGCCAGATGCACCGGCCACTCGCGGCCACATGCCAGGCACACTGACGGCGTCAGTTAACGCCGTCAGGAATATTCCGTTAAAACTAACAGATTCCATTAAAGTTAACCTAACACCGTTAAGAATATTTCATCTTCTTCTCCGGCACACCTCCGGTGCCGTCGCCGTTGCCAGAAAACTGGAAAAACTTCAAACCTTCTTTTCTCACTCGATTTTCAACCAATTTCTATAAAGTTGGTACCAAAATGAAGCTTACAACAAGTAGAACAAAACCTTACCACTTTCAAGCCCTGAAATTCATGGAATCTCGCTCGAGAAACTTCACAAAATCCGACCAAACCTGTAACTCACAACCCCGACATCCAAAACCTTCCAACGAACCATCCTGAGCTTCCTAAGGACCTCACTAAGCTTCCTACAAGCTTCAAATTCCCTGAAAAAACAACATTTCACGTGTGCATGAACAGTAACCATAATCGAGGTTCCCTCGTTCGATGTGAAATCGAATGATTTCCTACCTGAAATAGGCATAGCTGGACTCGTATGATCCTGACGAACACAAAGATATAGTTTTCCACCTCGATCTACAATGTTTTCACGTGTGGTCCAGATGCAGCCAACAAGCCCACAAAACAAACACCCCAAAATGAAACATAACCACTAGGGACAAAATCGTCATTTCACACCTACAGTACGAATAATTCGGGACAGGTTGTCACAACGGGTGAGTGGTTCGTATTCCCTGGAATTGAGGTTTACGATGAAATGCATGCCAATTACAGCAACCAAGTTAGTGACGACATTTATGTAAGTATTCCGTTCTACATTTCAAATTTAAATTTCATTACAATTAATAAATAAAAAAGGTTTAAACTATGATCGGTAGTCTTAAATGGTTTCTCTTGTTTTATTTTTTTAGACTTCTACGATGTAGAAGAAGGACGAGTACCTTGCTAACCTTTCCTAGCAACAATCGTACGTGCCTATAGAGGAGATGACACCTGATCTAAAGGTGTCTTTACAGTTGTTGATGAACGAGCTTAGGCAACTGAAAGGCAAGAAACCCCGCAGCCTATGAGTGGGTCGGTTCAGGACCTGTAGGTGTCTTCTTCCTTAGCAAGCTCACATCCTTCGACCGAGACGTCTTCCAAACTTTAGTAGGTGGAGATGGAGCTAGCACGCCAAAGAGAAAAAGCGCACCTGAGAGAAGAAGTTGCGAGCGAGCGAGAAACTGCTACATGCGATCGAGAAGCAATACGCATGTACATTGCTTTGATAGCCCAAGCAATGTCAACTTCTAACATTCGCATTCCTAAGCCCTCGAGCGACCTTTAGGTGCCATTCCCCCATCCACCTCAACACCCACCCAAGTAATTTAGGTTAATTAGTTTAGTTTGTTTTACAAATTGTACGAACAATTTTATTTTGAACACAATTAAATAAATTTAAGCTTTTTAAATTAATATAATTAAAATTAAATAAATTATTTACTATAAATATTGCTTTAAAACTGAATGTAAAGAAAATAAAATAAAAAGGGTTGCTTGACGAATATATTCATCGAGCAAGCTTTTGTTTTATTTTTTTAGTTTTGGTTTTAAACAGTTGTCCAATGAAAATGTCGTCGGGTCAAGTTTTTAATACTATTTAATTTGGTACGGGGTGATTAATATAAGAGTATGTATGTGAGCAAGATTGAACTCATTTCACATATGATATTAGAGCAAAATAAAATTGCAATAGAAGTAGAGAACGTATATACGGTAAGGAGAAACCTCTTACAAGTCAACTTTTGCTAGAAATCATCGTTGTCAAAAGAACTCTGCCACTAAATCCTGGAGGTACGAAAAATAAGGGTAAGCGGGCCGAAAAGCAAAGTTTTGTAAGAAACAATGTTTTCATAAAGTTGTAACTACACAAATGATATTATACTGAGGGTAAAGCTTGGCTTGTTCATCTCCACATAGTGCTGTTCTATCGAGGAACTTAATTAGGAGCTACGGTCGTCTGTGATTACTAATTAATCTAGGTAGTTAGGCAAGCCTTAGTTCTGTTTCATTGTTTTCGTTGCGTGATTCAAATATAAAAAGTGACAGACGTCCTATACCAACATATGTCATGACTTTTTCTTGGCATAATATAAAACAAAATGGACTAGGCAAATTTGAAACGTTTATCTAATAACAGCTGGGGTTTCAAGTCGGCAGAAAAGCCCAAGTCCAAGTCAAGGTCAATGCTATTTTATAGTAAGCTGCCCTTATTTATATTTGGGCAGAAAATGAGATAATATGTTAATATATCTCTTTTTGTATTTAAAAGTGGACCAGCCCATGGCTCGCTACGATAGTCTTTCTTTTTGGAAACTAAGAAGACTCACAGAAGCATTTCAGCTTTTTCTGACCACCATTGTGCAAGATAGAAACTTAATTGTACACATGCCACAAGACTAACAACTAAACTAGCATGTAAGTATTCAGATTTGGTTCCTGATCTGTCTTCAGAATATGGTTTGAACTTTCAAGGGCAAAAGATTGATAGAATTTGTCAAAGCCACTATGTCTCAGACCAATGACTTTTCTGGTCATAGCTTATCTCAAGCTTACTGCCCAATATATATATTGGAGCCTGCATTTCTTTTCAATATGAATCAACGATTATTTTCTGTTCCTGTTAGGTAACCTATTTTTTATATTTTATTTCCTTAGTTCTGCTAGGGTTTAGAAGAAATGTTGCTTGGGCTAAAGTTTAAATTATCCATGGGTTTCAAGTCTTCAATAATGAGGCTGATCATGACGAGTTGGCTTGTAGAACACGCATATACCTAGGTAAATGCTAGTAGAACAACTATATAAGATTCATTAATAATCTAGATGGAAGATAATGATGATTGTATTAATAAGAAAAAAAAAAAAAAAAGGTCAGTGCTAGTAGAACAACATACATACATGTAAATACAAATTCGGCTCACAAATCTACCATACGTAAGATTACTGTTTCAAAAATACATGTTTAAACCCGTTGAACGCTATCAAAGCTAGAAAAAGAAAATTACACACAAGTAAATGCTTCTATAGGTAATACAAGAGGTGATTCTTTTCACATTATCACTAAAAGATCCGTTTTTCTTTTCATTCACTAGTAAAAAAAACTACTTGTGCGAAAAAACCGTGAGCGTCGAAATGTATTTTATCATGTGAGGCATTTTTGCATGATGAGAAAATGAACTTCGCCGCGCTCAAACTTAAAAAAAAAAAAAAAAAAAAAAATCCCAAATATTGTATCTTTGGCGCGATGACATTGTATCTTTGCGCGATGACATTGTATCTTTGCGCGAGGAACCCTTAGTTGCTCAAGAACTATTTGCGTGATTGTCCTTTCAATAGCGCAAAACCCCAAATATTTTGCAGTAAACTAGGGTTTGGCTCCACCATTTGTGTGACGACAATATACTTAGTGTGAGAAAATATTTGTCGTGTAAGGTGGCTTTGCATGATGAAAAACTAATTTTGTTGCTAAAAAACCTTTACTAAAAACACAAAAAATTTAAAACAAAATTGAGTCACAACATTATATCTTTGCGTGATGAACTATTATTTGCAAAACCCTTAAAATTCGCAATAAACTAGGTTTTGGAGCCACCATTGCGCGATGAAAATTTTTAAATGGAAGAAAACTTTAAAACTTGAAAAAACACCCTTGACACACCCCGACCGAGATCAGGGCGTGCTGGCCATCACTCGAAGGTGACGTAGCCATGTGCACGTGCGGAAGCTAAAGAAAATAATGTAAAAGTGCGAATAAATTAAAACCTAGCATACAAAGTATTAATACAAGTACTAGCGTAAGTGAGACGCTTAAGTTCAGAGCAAGACTACAGCAGTCCATAGATAATACTACGACAATAATACACCCGAAGGTGACCCTACGTTGGTGAGTATCTGTCGGAATTGCCGGGACACCCTCTGGGAAGACCACCGCAACTGCTAAGCAACTAGAACCTGGAGGGGCGCAAAACAAAAGCGTGAGTGGGCAAAAACAAAGCTCTTTGAAAACCATTTCATAAAATACATTATAACCCCTCGCCGTAAAACCTGTATACTTCCCAGAAAAATAAACATATGTACGTATACATAAATATGCCATGTCATGCTCAAAGGTATGACAATCGTACTCAAGATATATCATATCGGAACCTCATAACATAATGTAAACGCTCAGGCATAAACCATATCAATAACATGTTACTGGCAGCCGGGAGTCACCTAAAGTGACCTGTACGGCTGCGTATAGAGCTCAAATCTCATACACAATAACTAAACAACTGAACCTGCCCACGAGTCGGAACCACCTAATGTGGTCTGTACGACAGGACTGGGTGTTGCGTATAAATACGCTTTAGTGCTACGATCACGTGAAGCTGGGCGATTAATCGCACGTCACCTACGAGTCGGAACCACCTAGTGTGGTCTGTACGACAGGCTACGCACCTAGCTTGGATCCAAGCTGAGCATAAGGTGCGGGGGAGGTGAACATCACGTGAAGGCTGGCCCTGCTCAGGGCGAGCACTAACACCGGGGATCAGGTTAGGAGCTCTCAAAGCATCTCAACTACTGCTGAATGTAAAATACGAATAACCTTTACCTGGCACTTACCTGTGCATCCACAGCACCCAATACACATATATATATAAATGCATGCCACTACTAATGCATGTAATGATGCATGAACGATAAACATATGATGCATGGCATAAAACAATTAACCTTTTCTAACAAATTTCTGGGAATATAAACGTATATAGGTATATACGAAAAACCAAAAGCCCACTCACTGATATATGGAAGGGTTGTAGCCCCCCTGCCTCGAGTGAATACGCTCGTCCTCGGAGTACGTATCACCTATACGCGAAAAAGCTACGAAAACGTTAATTTAAACGCACATAACCAACTTTTCGTAATAATTTCTCATACATTGCTCAAAATGGACAAATGAATATACCAACGTGATCTACACAACCTCAGGATCACACCCATATTTTTATATTAATTTTTGGACCACGCACGCGCCCCCACGCGCCTGATCACGCACGGACCCACGCGCCCCCACGCGCGGTCACGTGCAACGCACACTGACGGCGTCAACTGACGCCGTCAGGAATATTCCGTTGGACTGACGGAATATTCCCTAACTGACGCCGTCACTGCCGTTAGGAATATTCCGTTAAACTTAACGGAATATTCTCCTGTCTTCTCCGGCGGACCACCGCCGCCGGCGCCGTCGCCGGAAAACTGCAAAAACTTCAAACTTCGTTTTCTCACTCGTTTTTCAACCATTTTTCACGTTCTTTATACCAAAATGAAGCTTAGGACTAGTAGAATCACGTTAGACTACTTTTAAGGCCTAAAAATCAAGGAATTATACATGTCCACACAATCTAAAATCGGCCAACTTTGAACCTTGCTTTCCCGACGTCCAAATTCACCCAACGAAGCATTCCCAAGCTCCTTGAGACCTCACTAACACATCTACAAGCTTAAAATGTCCAAAAACATGCTAGATTAAGTTTGCATGAACAGTGCACAAATCGGAGTTTGTCGAATCGACGTGAAAACGTAAGATTTCTCACCTGAAAATGGCACCACTGGACTCCTCTCAACTTCACGAGTTCGATGGTGTAATTGGTTTCTTGATTTGTGAAGGTTTGAGTATGTTTGTGTGTGTGTCCGTGTGTTGGAGAAAGAAAAAGAAGAAATGGTAGAGGACTCGGGGAGAGAGAGAGAAGAGAGACAGAAAAGAGACAGGGAAGAGGGAATCAGGGAAAGGTAGAGGAAAAAGGGAAAGTGACAGGTGTGTGTGTGTGTGTCTAACACATGTCCACACCGCCCGAAATAACGCTAGACGTAAATGTGACGAACTAGGGGCAAAACTGTCATTTCATACTTGCGTTTCTATATTCTCGGGACGGGATGTCACAACCTACCCACCTTAATAGAATTTCGTCCCGAAATTCAAAACAACCAAATATAACCCCTAGTGGTCGAAGAACAATCTAGGATACATATCCCTCATCCTATCTTCTGTCTCCCATGTAGCTTCTTCTACTGAATGATTCCTCCACAAGACTTTCACTAAGTTCACCGTCTTGTTCCTCAGAACCTTCTCTTTCCAATCTAAGATCGTTAATGGTTCCTCGTCATACGTCAAGTCTAGATTAATCTCCAGGGCTTGAGGAGGTATCACATGCGACGGATCAGCAACATAATGTCGGAGCATAGACACGTGAAAAACGTTGTGCACTCTAGCCAGCTCTGGAGGCAACTCCAATCTGTAAGCTACCTCACCAACTCGTTCTGTGACCATGTATGGTCCGATATACCTGGGACTCAACTTCCCTTTCTTTCCAAACCGCACGACACCTTTCCACGGTGAAAGTTTCAGAAATACCCAATCTCCGACTTCATACACTCTGTCCGTAGCATGTCGATCTGCTAAACTTTTCTGCCTGTCCTGAGCTACTTTCAGGTTTGCCCTAATTACCTGAACATTCTGAGTAGTCTCCTCAACAATCTCCGGACCTACCAAGGCTCTTTCTCCAACCTCTGACCAACACAACGGTGTGCGACAAGCTTTGCCATACAAGGCCTCAAATGGCGCCATGCCAATGCTCGAATGGAAACTGTTGTTGTAAGCAAATTCCATCAAATCTAACCGCTGGTGCCAAGCATCACTGAACTCTAGCACCGAAGCTCGCAGCATATCTTCCAAGGTCTGAATAGTTCTCTTTGACTGTCCGTCTGTCTGTGGATGACTGTTAAAAAGAGTTATAAACATGGAGAAAAGTTTGATTTACTCTTGGTATATGCTTGGTTATGGTTATAATGTATGACTTCACATGCAATCATAAAAGAAAAAAATTAGTTATGTAACATGCTTGAAGGAAGGAACTCAAACAAACGCTACAACCCTGAGAGACTTGAGCCTATAACGTTCTTTGGAGAGTATAATCTGTGATTTCTTGTTTTCCAAAGTTGTTGCATGATCTCATTATTCTTTGCTTGGTTACTACTTAGAAGGCGTTTCATCATATAGTTCCAAATGCTAGAACTCATGCCCATTTCATTCAAAGCATGTTATTGATTTGCATAACATATATCAAGATGAAGTTGTGTAGTTGCCACCATAGCCAAATAGCCTCACTTCCCATATTTCGTATATGTTGTAAGTTTTACCCCCGTTGAGCCATGTTAGCCCATGTTCTTTGTTAACCCACTTTATCCTCACCTAACCTAGAATATGACCGTCCTTACCCTTGTTCTTGAAGCATAGTAAGCAATGAATTCCTTTTGATTAAGGTATTGCAGAAAATAAGTGTGGGGGAAAGAGTGTTTATGTGAGTTGATGTGCCATAGGCACGGCCAAAAAGAAAGAAAAAAAAAAAAAAAAAAAAAAGAGTTGAAAAGTATTGTTGGTTGAAGTAAGGGCCCAAAACAATAAATTAGGCCCTAAGAGTTGTTGAATCTCCCCCTTATGTCTAAAAGTTGATTTCTGCATGCCAAGTGAATTCTAAGCCTTAATTTCATTACTTTGCTTGCTATTGTTTAAAGAACTTTTGTTTATCCCTACCTTTCCTTGTGAGCCAATATCCCAAGCCCCGTTACAACCCTTGACTTCTATCTTGAGTGTTGTGCATTTCAATTGTGGAGTTTGAATTTGGTATGAGCATATGGTGTCACTGGTTCTCGCGTCTAAGTAGTAGCATTCCATTCATGAGATCATATCTAAACATGCTTATTAACTCCAGAAATTGCGTTCTTTGTGATACATATATGTGAGTGTTCGTTTTCATGTTTACATCAATCTTCTCACATATGACTAGATTAGGGTGTGTAGTTAGAAAATCTGAGTGAAAATCGAGTGCATATCTTGTAAGGAATTGAGCAAATTCTCTAAGGCATGTTACTACATTCAAAACATGGTTTTAAATGATTAATTGTGAAATAGTATGTGGTGACTATGATTAAGAATGTACTTAAGTGTGAAGATGACTAAAATCTGTGGGAATGATGATTTTTAACATGTCATGTGCATTGGAAATCCCTAAGACGGTTGTTGGAAGGTTTAGGTTGTGTTTTACTTGTTTAGTGTCGTTTTGTTTGTTTGTTATTATTTTGTTTTGCTCGAGGACTAGCAAAAACTAAGTGTGGGGGAATTTGATAGGAGCATATTTAGGCAACTTACTTAGCTTGTTTTCGTGCATCTATGTTGTTAATTCATAGTTGTTTTAGTAGTTTAAGCCATTTTCGTGTGTTTTTAGGTTCATATGGCTAAGGAAGCAAAAAGATGCATTTTGGAGCATTTTGGAGCAAAATTGGGCTTGGAATGGATAGCATATTTTTGGAGCCAAAGTGTTGGACGAATTTGAAAGCCTTGTATGCACTTTGGACATAAAACAAAGGGCCTAGCCCAATCAAACAATCCTTTGAGCCATGCAAAACCTCTAGCCCAATCAACAAGCCTTAGCCACATGCATTCACATGCATCACAACCCCAAAACCATCAAGAAACACCCATTCACACACACATGCACTCACATGCATTCACATGCATTTCCACCTTCCTACTTCATCATTTCACCATATTCTCCCTCTTTAACTCACATGCACCCAAACAAAGCCAACCTAGCTAACCCTACATGCATTATTTATTCACTCTTCATCATTGCATTCATCACCAAAGAACTCCCCATCATTGCCATGCATTCCCCCTAATTCCATCCATCTTCCACACCTTTCCAACCTAGCCACATCCTTTAATCATCCCCCCTTTAAGTTATGATTTTATTTCCTAACCCTACATGCATTATTTATTAACTTTTCATCATGCATCCACATTCATTCCAACACAAAACACACACATGCACTTATTCTTTCATCATTGCACCACCAATTCACCCACATGCATTTCCAACCATTCACACCCCTTTAATCATTCTCCTAGCTATCATTCACATGCTCTCCCATCCATTCTCTCCCTATATGTTCCCTCCACTACTCCTATAAATACCCTTGCATTCATTCATTCATTCATCATCTCATTTCATACACAACACACCACAAACACTTCCATCTTCTCCTTTGGCCGTGAGTTTCCCTTCCATTTCTCCTCCATTTCTTCCATTTCCATAATCCCCCAATCCATTCAACACACCAACAACATCCCTTAGTCCTTGTGCCACAATAAAGAGGAAGATAAGAGGGCCTAAACGTTCATACAATTCACGTTTGAGTTGTTGGAATGTTTACGCGTTTCTTTGATTTCAATGTTTAAATTCAATTCTCTTTGTTTTGTAATATGAGTAATGGAAGAGAAGAGTGCCTAAACGTTCAAACAATTCAAGTTTGAGTTGTTGGAATGTTTAGGTGTTTCTTTGATTTCAAAGTTATGAGGAACTAAACCCCCTTTAGCTAGGGGGTGATTCGAAACTATGTTTATGTTTGCAATATGAATTGATTAACTTTCGTTGGAATTTCATAAGTTGTGGATTCAATTTGTTTAACTGTTTGATTGATAACTTATTTATGTATGTTTATTAAGAATGCGCGCTTAATTTTCATGCATGAATATGACGCTAGAATATAAGTGAATTTCACCTAATCGTTATGAACTTATATTCACAAGTAGTGGAGGTTGCTTATAAACAATCGCGTTAAACAAATTCTTGGCATAAGTTTCATGCAATCATAGTAACGAATGCCTCGTCAACACTTATAGTTTTCATTGAACGTAATGATCTTTGATTGTATCTTTATTATGATGTCATGTAAGGAACTTTTGAAGAATGCTTTGGGTTGTAGTATGATGTCATCCAATTCATTAACTTAAGGAAAACTTGACGGTTAATTTAAGCGGACCTAATTAACCCGGGGTGTTGAGAAATCATAATTTATCGAAAGACCAACTGAGAATCAATCTTGTATGCAAGTGTAATATGTGTGGAGAAGAACCCCTTGGCTATTCCATCATCCATATTTTCATCTCATTCATATTTACGTTTTTCCTTTAATTACAATTTGTCCATTTAATTTAATCTCGTCCAAACACAATCCCCCCTTTACTTTATTGTCAAATTAGTTAGAAATCAATTTAGTTTGTGTTTTTAAAAGAATTTTGAGTCTTTTGGTTTGTCTTAATGTTTTAACGTTTAGTTTCACATTCTTTGAGTCTAGTTTAACGTTTTATATTGTTTTTACGTTTTAGTTTAAATTCGTCCAAATCCAATTCCCCCCTATTTCATTGAAGTCTTAGTCTTAATCTTTCTTATTTTTAGTTTTGCTTTCTTCGAGCATTAAATAGTGTTTTATATTGTGTTTTTATGTTTTTAAGTCAATTTAGAAGGTTTTAGCAAGCCCTCCTAATCCCCGGTCTAGAACGATCCCTCACTTATCCATTCTACTACAATTGTCAAACGAGGGTTTAATTTGAGTGTCAAGTAATTCTCGCATCAAATTTTGGCGCCGTTGCCGGGGATTAGCAACTTTGCTAGTCCCTTGTCTTTATTTTTATTTATTTATTTATTTATTTATTTATTTATTTTTTTTGTTGTTTTTCGTGCATTCTTATTTCAGATTCTTAGTTTGTTTGTTTTCTTGTTTTTCAGGTACT